CCACAACAGGGGACACTGCCCTGAACGTATTCTACGTAACAGATGCAGCTGGGAATGCTGCCGATTCCAAGATTATCGAGGGGGTTCGACAAAAAATCGGATTGAATGACTTGAAAGTGAAGGAACTGCCGCTGATCTATCATCAGAAGGCCGAGGAAAAGGATGAGCCCACCGTTGGTGTAGGTGGGGCCATGTTATCACTGGGGAGCTTAGTTATGAGGAATCTATACAATTTGGGGTTGATCAGATCATATTCTTGAAAACTTGAGAAAGGACGAGAGCCTTCTACGAAAGGCAACAATTTGGCAGGGGGATGTCCCCAGTCCCCCTGTTGGCATATATACTTATATACTTTGCTTGGGAAATCAAGAATTGCCCAGAGGATAATAGCCCCCAAGGGGGATATTATGGGGGCTTGTGTACATATGGAAAAAGAAGGAAATGGGTACTCTACTTATTTGGTAATTGGATATCAGTAGGTGTTATAGTTGGTGGTGGTTTGGTTGGTTGAACAGGTAGACAGCCGCATATACGCATATGGTTGGATGGATGATGAAACAGTGGGGGCCATCTCCTCCACTGTTTCAATTTGTTCATACTTCATAGTCCATAGCTTGGATTTGAAGATGGGGTTAGAATTTGAATTTTAAATAGGGGTGATGGATGGGAAAAAACAGCGGAAGACAAAAGTAAAAGTTGTTGGTGGGTGGGTTGATTGCCGGCGGTAAAGGGTTGATAGAGAAGAAAGATTAGGTGGTGTCACTGCTGGTAGAGATAGAGAGACAGAGAGATTTGATTAGAGCTCACATTTGTACATAACCGCTACTTATCTTCTTTGTTTAAAGAAAAACTACTACTGTAGTAGAAGTATTAATTATCAGCTCTAATTGTTGACTTCGTTTTTTCTACACATCTGTTTCTTTTCGTAGCGCGACCAATTCAGTTGGTTTCGAGGGAAACATCTTTGTTTTTGTCATTAATTTGTGTGAAGAAAATCTGGTCCAGGTCCAACGCCGCAGATTCTTAATCCCAAACGCCGCAGATTCAATGCATCAAAAGTTTGTCAAATGGTCCATCGCACGATGTGCTTTCTGATGATGATTTTGATTGGGATTAATTTCACTTTATATCCTTTTACCATACCTAAATTTTACTTTAGTCCTTAAACTTCACAGCTTTTGTCTCTAAATTATAAAATTTGTCAAACTCAAATAACATCATTGAGGAAGTGAGACAGATTTTATGTCTAAATGGGGTTGCTTTAGGTACTAATTTGGAATAGATGTTATAATTTAGGAACTAAAATGGATAAATTCTATATTTTACAGACTTAAGGATATACTAACAGTGTAGTAAATTTTTTACATTAACAGTTATATATCTATGTTACATATTTAAATTTTAAATTCAAATTCATATTATATGGTAATGATTTAAACTTGTTAATATATAAAAAAAAAAAAAGTGTACATTGACAATAATGTATAAAAAAAACTGAAAGAATGGAAGAAACTTGCCCCACATTGTGACAATTACAGTCGCAGACTTCCATGATACTAGGCTGTTGAAAGTGGTGAAAATGAAAGAAAGCTATCATGGAGGTGATATTCAAATATTTCTGCCGTATAATTGTCATTGGGAGCTGCACTTTTGAATCTGAGTGTAGTATCCATTGTAGATTTTGAGCGTAGTTCTTTGATTTTATGCATGGTTAGTTTTTGACCCCTAAATTCCCACTGCAAACTTATTCGTATGGTTGGGTCTTGTAGGTGCATTGCGTTGCAAAAGGGGAACATACTACTTTGTTTTCCCATTTTCAAAGGTTAGGCGTGGGCGGCTGTCGTTTGAAGTTTCCAGAAAAATAGTACTAGTAGTGTACTCTTTCTGCCTTCCAAGTTGATTACGCGCTTTGTTTTAGTTTAGACTTCTTCTTTTGGATAAAAAATTATCATGGAGTTAAGGTCTATTTTCATCAAAATGGTTTTTTTATTTGATTTCCACTAAATGCTAGTATATAAAAGGTGAAAGTACATGTATCATCTCATATATATGGCGTAATAGAAAATGTAATACTACTAAAAGTAAAATAAAGTCTTCAAAGCCACTAACTAACATGTTAATTGAAACAATTTGCGGTAATAGTTTCAATTTCAAAATTGATATATAAATACCCGCTTGCAAGTGCAAGTCAAATCGAAAGAGTAGTGATGTTTCTTAGATTTTTGTTGACACAATAAATTAGGTGAGACCGAAAGATAAATCAAACTATCCAATATTTCAATTAAATTCAGATTTGCAAGATCTGACTCGAGTTTAGATCGTAGACTAATTAAATTTGAATAGCATTTTATGTTCGATAATATTTAAATATAATTAAAAAAACTTGTCCAAATTTGATTCGATAAATAAATAAATTAAATTTAAACAAAATTTTAAATTCATTAAAATAATCAAATAAATTTGAACACTAAAGTGTTCGATTTGTTTATACCCCTAAAATTGGGGTATCACCATTTCTCTCCACCACCTCTTAGCCTTTTTGTCCTCTCACATTTTACATCTTTCTATATATTATTTTTGACGGAATGAAATTACGAAGCACAAATCCACGTACACCTTGAGATTAGAAGAATGCCACCACAGATTGAGAGGAAAAAGCCAAAAAACCCAAGCATCTTAAGCTCTAGCACTCTTGGAAACAAATTCATTAATTGTAGGCAACCGACAACTTTCCAGCTTTATCTTTTTGCGCTTCTGTATTTTGATCTTTGCCGGAAAATTACACCCAACTCTGCCCAAGCTCACTACTTGCCCAAAACTTAATCATTAACTTTAAAAGGCTTGTCTATTACTATATATTTGTTTGGAGAATATTAATCGCACTCTAATTTTTATAACAGTATTCCGGCTTCTTCTTCTTTTTTTTTTTGTAAAAAAAAAAATTGTAGAGTCTAATAAATGAACACCATATGATAAAAAAAAAATATATATATATATATATATATATATATATAAATATAGAGTGCGATTAACATTTGCCCATTTGTTTTTTTTTCTTGAATTAAAGTATTTTTTTAAAAAAAAACAATAGGAATGACTAATTTTGACACAACGTTAATAACACACTGGTAATTATGTTACTGCTTAACAACGCAAGTATTGATTGATTTTCAACACGACATGATTAGAAGACAAAATAAAATAGGTTCTGAGCTATCTTTAATTGGCTGTATCAATGTAAATATCAAGACCCTCTTTTGTACAGCACATACATATCAAGACCCTCGAACATTTAATAAGTTCGGATAACATATATGTAGTAAGTGGTGTAGGCTTGCTTCATATTTTCAAACTTATTCTCAAAAGTAGGTGTCTACCTTCAATATAATGTTTCATTATTTTGTGCAGCATACTTAAAAGCTTTTTAATTTTTATTCGATTAATATGTGTCAGAAAAACATCATTAGTCTTAACAAACAAGTATGACTAAAGTGAAAAAAACGCAAAAAACAGATGTACATATAATGGCCCGTGAGGCACCTAGAAAAAAGGGAAAAAAAAAACACCGTTATTATTCTAGTGGTGCTTTACTGTTTATTTGCTTTTTCCTGTGAGTGAAAAATGATATATGCCTTGTACTCTTTTTTTTTTTTCTTTTCCTGGATAGGAACCAAAAGGGGTGCCTTGTATTTGTTAGATTAGATAGCAATGGGTGCATGCAGGGTAAGAAATCTGTCTTGAGTCTCACTTTAGAGCTCTAATAATAACTGAAATAGTAATCCTCCAAAGCAAAGTAGTAGTAAATGGTACAAAATGCAAGATTGATCTTTCAATTTTTTTTAACTTCTTCTCTCTTTTTTGCTAGATCCTTCAGCTACCCAACGGATAAAAAGCGTTTCATTCAAGCTACTGACGCTAGCCTGTACAGGAGGAGCATTAGCCATTTTTGTTCTCCAAATTTGGTTAATTTTGCACTCAATTGTTGGGCGTTCTGCTATTTGGTCCCCTAATTTTTTGTTTTCTTGGACAAAATTACACATAAATCATTTCTTGTTCATTTTGTTTTTGCCTAGGATTTTCCTGGGTTATCTTTTCTCAGAACCCATCTTTGCTTGCTTGGTCTTGTGTATAATGTAAAAACCATCCATCTACCTTTGATGTTTTCTCGAGCCAAAGAGGAGGAGACACGAGTAAAACTCAATGGTGACTGCAATTTGACTACAATTTTCAACACAAGAAAGAAACACAGAGAACCATTTACTACTTCTTCTACTACTACGATTTATTGGTGACCAATTTGTCTACATTTTTCTTTTCTTTTGGGGATTTTGCTGACCAACTATGTGCCTGCACTGAAAAGCGATAACACACGCGGGTACGTTTGGATTTCTTGTTTTTGCTTCTATTTTTTAAAAATTATTTTTTATATTTTAAATGTTACAGAAAATATGTATTTTTAAAACAATTCCAAAAATACCGTATTCAAACATTATTACTATTATTATTATTATTTCTGGGATGTCTGTTAGAGCTTGTGGAGAATGAAAAAGAGCAACGAAGAAAAAGGGGAGAAGGAAAAAGAAGTGGAAAAAGGGGAGATGACATTTTCCTCATATTTTCCTTTCCTCTTCTCATCATTATTCCTTCCTTTGTCTGTACTTGAAGGATGCTACAATCAGCCCTTTTAATAAATAAATGAGAAAAATTATATATATATATTACTAAACAAATGTATTGTGGTATATGTGCATGTATCAGTGAGCATGTACTCAAATATTTTTTTCCCTTTTTTTTAAAAAAAGAGAGTGATGGTTGTCTTCATGCCTTGGCAACCTAATTTCACTTTTCCCAACTACAATTATTTTTTTATTTTTCTTTTTCTACCGGACTCCAACCATTTTCTTAACTAAAATACATAATTTCTCTGCTTTCACTAATTACTAATAATTAATGACCTACCAAATTTTAAATTCCGTTTTCTTTTTCTTTATTCTAAATTTTCTTTAATCTGAATTTGGACAAAACTGAGGAGAGTTAGCAACACAAATTAGCATTTTAACTCTCCCATTTTCCATTTTCCCCATCACTCGCCAAACCCAAAAAAATCTGCCTTTCAATTCTCAACATCTCCGTTTTATCCCGGAAAATTCAAATTAATTTTTCCCAAAATTTTTCATCCTCCCCGTTAAATCTCGCTGTCTTTTTTTTTTTTCTTTTTGTTCTTTACCCGGTCAGCTTTTTTCTCATCAAAAAAATTTGAACTGAAAAAATGAACAGTCTGAGCAGCTTGCTTCTAGTTTGATCCAGGTTTACATTTTTGAGCTTTATTAAGAATTTCTGTAGCTGCTTGAACCATAAAGTCAAGTCCTTTTTAATTTTCGTTTTCTGGGTTTGGTTTTTTGCTCTTGCCCATTTTCTCTTGATTTTCTGGGTTTATGTCTTGGAGTTTTATGGTGTTTTGTTCTCAGGGAAATGATGGGTTTTTGAAAAGAAGTTGACAGCGAATTTTTTTTCTTGTGGGGGAGTTTCTTTTTAAGTATGGAAGGGAGGGAAGGAATGAGTAGCACTGGAGTTACAGTGGTGGGATCAGATGCTCCATCAGACTACCATGTGGCTCCTAGGACCACTGAAAATCCACCTCAAGTGAGTGGATCAACACCAGCTATAGGACCCCAAGTGGGTGTCACTCCGGCGCCGGCCACGGCGCCGGCCGGAATGGTGGCTGCCACCACCACAGCGAAGAAGAAGAGGGGCAGGCCTCGAAAATACGGCCCAGATGGGTCAGTAACTAGTATGGCACTCTCCCCTAAGCCAATTTCGTCGTCGGTACCGCCTCCGGTGATTGACTTCTCGTCGGAGAAACGTGGGAAAGTCCGACCAGCTGGGTCATCTGGCAAGCACCACCAGCCTAGGGTGGAGATGGAAGGCCTAGGTAATGGTAAAGTACTAAAGTTCACCTTTCCTGGCTTAATTCTGTAACTGAGTTTTTGTTAAAGCTCGTATCTTGCATGCATGTGAACGGGTTTTGGTAGTGGGATTAATGTATATTTTGTTTGGATACGAGAGCATAGTTTGTGAAGGGGTTTTAGGAGATGATGTTAGGTTGTAGTTGTGGGACCTGTGAATAGATGCCCCAACTAAGATCTTGATGTTAATACGTGGTTTCTGAAAGTCAGGTTTGTTTTTTCGGTTGGTGTGGAAGAATGAGGGAATTAGACTTAAATGTTTGTTTGGTGCTTCTCACTTTTCTGGGGGAAGAGGGATGTGATCGTGGAAGCTGTTTTCTTGTGTACTTTGTATTGTCTGGTAAATACCTTTCCAGTAAATGGTAAAGCTGTATTCGATTATGGACCTTCTTGATCTAATGCATAAAATGACAGGAGTGGTTGCTTACTAATTTTAGGGCATACTAACTTGTTATGGATTGTTGCTTTTTGCAAATTGCTAAAGCGCCTGGAAGTTCATCAGCATGACACATTGCATTTATTCTGATTCTGTTAGAAAGCTGGTCTTTTTGAAGCTATGGCATTCAGTCTGCTGTCCATGTGCTACGCTCTTTGCCAAACTTAAACTTTTTATGTTTTTTGGCTCTAGTGGTTTTGATTGCTACTGCCCTATTTGTTTGTTGAAGCACTATCCCTAGTATCTACCAAGTTAGTATCTCAGCTGCTTTGTGCCAGTAGATTTTGGATGAGGATATTTGGTCCTTTGCAAAACACATATAGTACAGAGCATCTTTTTGAGAATGCATCTTTTGCGTACTGCTTAACATCATCGTTTTAACTTGCTGTTCTAGCTGAAGGAAAACTAACGGCATTGCTTTCATTTTTTTAAAAATTTTTTTGTACGTTTTTATGCATTGCTTCCCTTTGTGAATGTTGTTTTTCAGTTCAAGCTCTTAGCAAATTGAAAAAATTCAATGCAGAATGTGAAGATATTTTTTGGCGCATAATTAGAACCTTTTTTTTCCTGTTGTCTGCAGGTGAATGGGTTTCATGCTCGGTTGGAGCTAATTTTACACCCCATATTATTACTGTTAATGCGGGAGAGGTATGATAGTCTAATCAATTAGTTGTCAGTTTTTGCAAAATTTTGCTTTCTGCTCTTAATGAGACTTAAAATTTTTTTTAATTCCTTTTTGAGTGAAACTTTAATATCTTGAGCTAGAGATGTAACCTATTACTGGAAAATAAGAGTCAAAGTACAACATCAAGTTTAAATAGATGTCTCTACTGTTTGAAAATTTCTAACTACTGGAGGTCTGTGAAAAGTTTTCTACTTAATAATTAGTGCTGGTTTGGACATTTTAGGGGACATAATTGGCTTTCTAAGGAAGAACTCTGTAGTTTCAAATTTTCATCTTGAAATTTTCATGAAAATGAAGCTATTGGTTGAAGTTCACGATACTGATTATTGTTTGGTTTTCCAGGATGTCACCATGAAGGTAATATCATTCTCTCAGCAGGGGCCTAGAGCCATATGTATTCTGTCTGCTAATGGTGTAATTTCAAGTGTCACTCTTCGTCAGCCTGATTCTTCTGGTGGTACATTGACATATGAGGTGCTGTGACTTGTCAATTATTTTCTTTATATGGTTAACAGTGTGGATATATTAACCACTACTTTGTCGCCTCCTTTTAGTCATTAAGGCGATTTACGAAATTTGTCTGAATTTGGGTTCTCTATGTCTAGTGCTTTGATTAACTGTTAACTTATATGTGTAGTATCTGTAATCGGGATATACTCTTTGAACTTTTGGCCACTATGGACTTTGCTATCTTCTTCGCTAATCTAGTTTGCCAGGATGGATGCTTCTCTGAAGCTGAAGTTGAACTGTGTACAGAGCTTTGAAAATGGATTTTTTTGCATGTTTGGAAGAGTTATAATATTTTAGATGGATTGTTGGGAATCCTACTACAGTCCCTTAATTCACAACTGAATTATTATGTTTCTTGAGATTCTTATTGGTCTCTTATTCCACTTGAGTGAAAAATACCGTCAGATTCTACGTTCTGGCAAGTTTTGTGCAAAATATAGGGTGGACTTTTTTCTCACCCTATATTTCTTTCTGGAAAAGGATCTATCGCTCTGTTGAGTTGCAGTTGAACCAGCATGACCATGTTGAATTGTTTGGATTGCGTATGTAAAAGCTTCAGATGTTACTTGTTGAGTGCCAATTGGTCGATTAAATTTTTGTTGCTTTAGCGTTGACACATTTGTTATGGTTAACCATTTTTGTTCTGGCAGGGTCGTTTTGAGATACTCTCGTTAACTGGATCATTCATGCCATCTGAGACTGGAGGGATAAGGAACAGATCTGGTGGTATGAGCGTCTCTTTAGCAAGCCCTGACGGACGTGTTGTTGGTGGCGGAGTTGCTGGTCTACTAGTTGCTGCTAGTCCTGTCCAGGTACTAACTTTATGTTTCTGCCTTACCTATTCCTCTTCTGCTTCATTTAAGGAGGAGCTTTTTGGATTCTTCTAATGATTAGAATCGTCTTCCAAATTGACGTCCGACCATAGGTTCTGATGATTTCACTTTTTTGGCATGAACCAGATCGTTGTAGGCAGCTTCCTGGCTGGAAACCAACACGAGCCGAAGACCAAGAAGCAAAAGGCTGACCACATAACAGTGAACCCATCTGTTGCTTATCCTATCTCGAGTGCAGAAGTCGAGGACCCATATCGCACTTCCTCTTCCTTCCGTGGAGAAAATTGGTCATCGATGCCGCCTGATTCAAGGAATAAGCCAGCTGACATCAACGTAACTCTGCATGGTTAATAAAATTTCGGCCCCCCCGTCTACGCAGAAGTTCGTGACTGACCAACCGCATTGGTATTTGTCCAGAATTATGAATCTCACCCCTCCTGTTGTTTGTTTGTAATCCTAGTACCGGCATGTTGATTTCCAGTGAGGTTTGTTGGAGTAAATTTAACTAGTTTAGTGCATTAAGCCGGACCGGCTTCTTCGCCTGTTTCCTGTTGTAGAATGTTTTTTAGATGTAAAATTATTGACTTCTGAAGTTCAATTCTTATCTGAGCATATGCGTTGTGATTTCAGTCCCTGTTGACATTCTTGCCTTTTGCGGTCCATGACTTTACACGCTGCCTGTCTGGATTCAATTACTCTCTTCTATGTAGTAGAAAAATATTTCAGAATTTGGCCGATATATCAATCTTTTCAAAGCTGTAATTTCCTCGAAGGTTCCAATTCCTTTTTTGGTGTTGAGGAAGAGACGTTAAGTCAAGAGTAAAGAGTAAATGCGCAAAATGTTACTAATGTTGACAACTGATTGCCCGAATTGGAGATTATCGTCAAATCCACACTTTTTTTTTTTTTTTTGTTTTTTAACTTCATCTGTTTACGCTAGCTACCGTAAAGCCGGAAATTGCACATAGACGTGGAAAATGATTTATTAAGTACTGGTACGGTACATAAATTTCTTGGTTTCACACTTTTTCGGTCTTTGTATTTTTCTGTGAAAGTTCTTGCAAAAGTTTTATGCTTTCTTTCTCCATCACACCAAGAATCATAAATCAACGTCAACCTGAAAGTTCCCTTGGTGTCGTCCTGCTGTCGAGGCTCCTCCCGGGGAAAAAAAAATTAAAACGTACACAGAAAGCCTTTTCAAAGTAACCTGAAGCCCTTGTCCTCAACCAAAAAGGAAAAAGGGGAAGAGAGAGAGGGAGAGAAGATAAAGGACCAAGAAGAATCCAATAAACTTGATATTGAGGAAATTGATCAATTGGAAACAGACCATATCTGGCGCTGTATTTGGGTTAAAAAATTATCTGACGTAAAGGAGAATGAAGAGAAGACAAAGGTAACTAACATTTATTAATCTAACTAATTATAGAGCATTGTGCTCCCATAGCAATCGAACCTTAAATCAGACAATGATAAATAACTTCACTACCAAATGCAAATTTATTTTGAGGTACATATATTATGCCGAAATTTTTTTTTCAGAATACGCAAATTGTATTTTGATTTGACCACACTATCTATGTAGTAATATTTCTCCTTATCCCTAGATTTTGAGCATATCCGCCGCCACCTCTTTTAACATGGGAAGGATGTCGGATCAGACTGAAGCCAACCCAAAAAAGAAAAAAAAAAAGGAAAGAGAAAAGAAAGTTGATGGAGCCAAACATGAAATTTCAGTTCATTGGAAATTAGGCATAGAATTGTTGACAATTTTAATCTGGGAAAGAAGGATGAATGTGTTTATTTCGCTGGTTCTTCCTTGAACAGGAGGGTTTCTTGTTCTTTCTTGGAAGATACTCAAACGCAAACTGCGCCCAGTAAATGCACCATTCAATAAAAAAGAAAAAAAAAAGCAAGTCAATGGCAATACAATAATATGTTTAGATTAGTTACAAAGCAGCATTCTGTCATGAATATTGTAAAATTGCACAAATTAATGTTGTCCAAGGCAGCACTCAGTTTTTGAAGATAGAGACCAACGAGAGTTCTATCAATGGCTAATTTATAGTACATGCGGATGAGAAAACTTCCACGGCAACACCTCAACTCACCCTGTTTAAAGTTCAAAACCGAACTGATCAGTTGTGTTATTGCATTTCTTATTAGAACAATAGAAGAGAAATAACATATTTTACCATTTCAGGGAATTTCGTGGTACACGCAGAAAAGCTTTAAGCAGCTTATGTGGACTAACTCATTTCTCATGATGCAATTTTGCTTGGATCAACCTCCCAGCGTTAATTTTCTGAGAAGAAACCCTTGCAGTATTTTGCTAACAAAAGATCACTATAAAAAGATGGAGCCAACGTCTTCCCAACACAGATAGCACCACCTTTTCTTTTTTCTTTTTTTTTTTTTGTATATTGCAATTTACAGGGCATGAAATTTGGGTTGGAGCTCATTTTTCTGCTCATAATCTTGGTTGGGGCGGCAACTCATCTGGTGCTACTAAGTTGCTCATTGTCATCATATGGCGGCCTCGTTGAGCGTTCCACCAGCCGAGCTTTTGTGTTTATTTTGTCTAATACCATTATAAGCTCCATTCTTGTCAAAAGTTATAGGCCATCTGCAGAATACTACACCGAATTCTTGCCTTGTGGAGACTTTTATGACCAAGCAGAAGAAAAACAAAGTGAAGAGATGATCCGTGATGATATCGAAAGCAGCTCTGCTAGCAGCAGCGATGGTGATGATGATGAAGAAGAAAAAGAAGAAGATGATGATGACGATGATAGCGACAGTAATGATGAAATTGGTTGGGGTAATGATGATGAAGAATATGATGAAACTTTAGAGACTAGAATTGAGGCTTTCATAGCCAAAGTCATCAGTGGTTGGAAAGAAGAGCTATTAGCAGACAAGCTCGACTGCATACAAGTGGACTAGATTTTAAGAGATCCCTTGTTCAAGTTTCAGAAGCTCTGGTGGACTATGATAGTTGGGTTTTATGATTCCTTTTTTCTTGTTTTTCCCTCAGTTTGAAGATTACATGCCTCTCCTTTTTATGGGGCTGTCATCTTCATTGTGCAAGTACAGTTTGTACAGTCAAAGCTTGGTGTAGGTGCATGCATTCGTGCATGTGCTTGTGCGTGTTTTTTTTTTTTTTTTGTTAAAAATAAAAACTAGCTAAATATATTACCAGTAAATCAATCATACCTTATGTACTTGCGAGAAAGTATGATTTGGTCATTTATTTCGTGTTTGAAGCAAGTTTGGATTGAAATGTTTTGAAATAAAATAATTTACTTTACAAATTTCAATCACCCTTTTATCTTTCCAATCGTCTTTTTATTTCACATACATCACATCACAAAAAGTATTACAGTAATTATATCAAATAAATCATCCAAATAAACTCCTATCCAAACAAAGCCAGTGTAAGTTCTCAATGGTTTCTGTAAGTGCTCATTTAAACTTGAAAAAGTCCACTCATATTATTCAGTTGACCACAACTTTGTGGCGATAATGATTTGTTAAATGAAACAAAGGTTATCCTCAACACCAGTGATGATATATTTCTCTGCTTTGCCATTTACTGGAAAAGCTCATCTCCAGATTAAATATCCCTTTCTCCCAAGAATGTGCTTATGATCATGTGGTCAACCGCATTCGGCAAAGCCAATATATCATAATCTATGTGAAGGGCCGATGTTAAGCAACTCCTATCTACGGTAGAAACTTAAGGTCATGATTTTGCAAGCAGATTCCACTTCTAAAATAAGAAACTGCAGGGTCTGCTCCACAAACACCAACATACTTATTGCGCGTAGACATGGCAGCATATTCTGCTATATCTGCTACTCAAGCAAGAGAAGAGCCCTGCTAGAATAATGGCAGCCTATAGTTGTCCCACCATGCCCTAGCAGCAACCCCACTACATTATCTAAAAATGAAAATTTAATATTCCCCATGATATCTTCTGCTTAGAGTGAGATCTAGCAAAAGAAAACTTCAAGAGATTCAGGAAAAATATGAAAATAATTCAGTATGTAAGCCAGTAGATGACGAAAGGCAAGCATCAATTACACAGTCGCCAATTCATTCGATTCATCACCTCAAAACTCAGGAATATCTTCTCTGGTATAAATAGTCAACAACCTTTTCATTTGTCTGTGACAAGCAATGAATAAGCTAACCAAGACCTGTAGACTCCTTCTTTGGAGCATCAGCCTTAATACGTGGAGGCCTTACTATGCGATCAATAAGACCATATTCAAGGGCTTCTTGAGCATTGAACCGCTTCATTCGACTTAAATCCTTGTGAATCTGCACAACAACATTCAGCTATTACGCTGATAAGCCAGACAAAATAAAATACGCAAATTGACAAGAAGGAAGATGAGACAGAGAAGTTTGCCACTTCCACGTTCTTTAAAACTTTAAAAAACAATTTTATCAGTCAATCTGAGAGCGGATATGGCAAGCCATACCTTTTCAACTGGTTGGCCAGTTTTCTGTGCCAACTCCTTGAAGAGGTAATCCCTAATTCTGATAAGTTCGTCTGCTTCATTACGAATGTCATCAGCCTGCCCAACAAAAAAGGGTAATCATCATTACGTTTAAAAGAAACTATTGGAGTCAAACTCATAGAATAATAAAGAGGGCTATAATTGCACCTGGCCCCGAGCAGCCCCAGCAGGAGATTGTAATGCAATTCTTGAAAGTGGCATTGCAAATCGATTGCCCTTTAGATCATAAGATGTCAAAAGGCTCAATGGTCAGAGAGAACCGAAAGTCGGTCATGTTATTAAAAGAGATCACTTGTAGTGAAACAACAGCATAAGAAAGCAAAATGCAAATAATTCTACCCTATACATACACTCTTACAGAACACTATCAAACATAAACCAACTGAAAGTCCTTTTAAGTAGATAAAATTGTGATCTATAACTACTAATAGATCTGTGATAGTTTAGTTAACTGATCAAAATGACGTATATCAGACAGCAATAAGCCTGATATTTGACTTTTTCAGAAGAAATCATTACCTTTTCACCTGCAGCAAGAAGAAAGCCAGCCAGATTATAGGCATAGCCCACACAGTGGGTGGCAACAGGGCTTTTCAAGCTCTGCATCGTGTCATATATAGCCATGCTTGGAGTAAGCTGCAAAAGGAGGAAATTTCAGAAAAAATGAGAGCTACACCAGAAGCAAGAAGATGTGAAAACAAAACCAAAAATTAATTTGTACAGAAGTTTAAATAACCAACTCACATCCCCACCAGGGCCATTGATATACATGTACAGCTTCTTGGAGTCTTCAATGCTGTCAAGGTACAGCATGGTTGCCAGTATCTGATTGCTGAATTCTTCATCTATATTTTGCCCAATAAATATAACACGTTCACGATACTGCATCAGAAAACTTGGTGAACTACTTTTTTATGCAAGAAAAGGAACAAGCAAAGATCACACAGAAAAACTAGGCAAGAATTTTGTAAGGATGAGAATCCACCCATTAACTTAGGCTCAAAAAAGGAACAGTTGAAACACAAATGATCTAGGTCAATTGTTTGGTTGTATATTCCAATATGTTTGAACTCCAGACAACTAGAATTGCATGAGTTACATCTAAGTTGTAGAAAGCAGCCAATTGACTTACAAGAGCATTCCACAAATCTACCCACTGCCAAGTCCCTTCAGTCACATTTCTGTAAGGCACTCTTGGTGTCCCTATCGGCATCATTGTAATACGTGCACGTGTTGCCTTAGTGTCACATGATCTGGAAATGAAGAAATGAATGGATTCAATACATTCTACTAAAAATGTTTTATGTGGCATGATGCAGTATAGCAGATATGGACCTTGTACACAGACAATGGTGACATAAAATTGAAACATTCTTGTGCTTATACACAGTTTTGTATCTTCATAGGCATATATGCCGATATTAACCAGAAACTTATGCTTTGCCACCAGGAATGACACATCAGAATTTTTCAAATCTTCTAAAGAAATGCTCGTAGGCAAATCAAAAGCATGCACTAAAATATACACATTGCATAGCAAGAAAAGCAACTAAGGAAACGAGCCTGGCACAATAATCTCGCATCTACTAATATAAAATTTGCACAAGCTGGAAGCAAGGGGAGAAATATTTGGGAGCTGCCCTGCCACAACCTCAATCTCTCTGCCGACCTGATGCTTGTAATTTCATCAAATGTCAGACAAGAATTCAGGATGAACATTCAAACTCTTTCATCAAACTTAATATTACACCAATTGGCCCAATAGCGAAAAATAATCAACTAAAGAGTTGTAAGAACTCTGAACTTTCGCCTTAACCCTTCCCAGCCCAACAAAATTCAACGTGGCCCACGAAAGGAAGGGGACTTGGTAGCAGGGGTGGTGCATTTCCTGTATTTTTACCTGACAATTCAGTGAATCATCAGAATATAAATACGTCAATGCAATATCACCCAGCTAAAAGGTTGCAAAATCAAATAGTCAAATTAGCCTGCCAAATAAGTGACTCACTCCTTTAAAAATTTTCCAGAAAATTTTCACAAATTCTAGCTCATCGAACAAAATTCACCAACTAATATTACCCAATTAACTTGAAAGACCTAATTAATCCACAAATATGATCAATGAACATTTGAAGCCAAAAAAGAGAAAAGAAAAGAAAACTGAAAACCCATAAAATGGAGCCCAAAGCCTACCTGGATTCGATGCTTTGGTAAACTCTGTTATAGAATTCGACATTCAGGTTGTTTTTTGAAATCCCATAAGAATCTGTTAAAACAAAAATAATAATAATAATAATAAAGCTGAAGTTCACCAAATCTCCAAAACCCATAAGAGATAAAGCAATTAACTTAATGAATTTCACATACTTGGGCATTGAACCCTTAAACCCACATAGACTTTGCTTGCACAACTGCAAAACACACAGAAAAAGATTCCAGAGTTATGAAGGAAAAAAGATGCTTTTTTTCATTTTTTTCTTAATTTCTGTGTCCAGAAAGCATATAGAAAATAAATTTCTAAGTGGAAAGAGAAAGGGTACCTGAGAGAAGGCTGAGGGGTTCTAGTGCTGGAGCGGAGACATGAAGAAGTGGCGGGACGGAGAGAGACCACTGCCATCGTTGCTGGATAGAGTGACCGAGGAAGAGGCAAGAGAAAGGCTGTTTATGATATCCGGGGGAAACGCGCGAGGGCAATAGTGCGTTTTTCAGTTACGAACCTGAAGTCGCGCTGCTTGATACGAGTTTATTTAGCCTAGTTGCCTTCTAGTAATGAAGTTCGGTCGGAAGTCCGAACCAAGGAAGCCCGTGCAAGCTTGGATCAAGAGACTTGGAAGAGAATAAAACGGCACTAATTATTTTAGCTATGTACACCACCAATGATCACAAAAATTTAGTGTTGACAGTGCTTTTTTTCCTTTTGTGCAGTCTAAGGCTAAACATTTTACAACTCCAGATTTAATATAATTTTCATTCTTGGATTAGAATCAGCTTCGATAGAGTGAGTTCATTTGGATCACTTTGTCTAACACGCAATGAATTTACATGAACTGCTAGTAATTCCTTTGATGCCGAAATATTAAGTCTTGCATGCCAAAAATTAATCGAGGATTGGAAAGCTAAATTTACTCGAACCCAGAAAACACTGAAGGGAAAAAAAATCCAGAGTTTCTAACTGACAAGCTCTTCAAGTTCTCTCTAAGAATGCAACTGCAACCAAATTTATATAGCAGTCATAACAAAATTGTATGCCACGTATGCTCAGCATTAGGTTGACTAACAGCCGAAAGAACTTGTAACAACAAGTGAAGCTCAGAAGTCTCATCTCTTCTTCCTTCAACCCATCAAGAATACAGCAACCGCCTGTTTTGAGATGCCAAAAGACTGTTGCAGAGGCATCATTAAACTTCACTTGAAAGCATTAAGAAGGCTTCTCATAAGTATTCTGCTCCCTGAATTCTGCAATGGCTGATCTTATCATTCCAGCAACATCAGATCGTACAAAGAGATGAGTGCTATCTAAAACATGTATAATAAACTTCTGTGATTGAGGGAGTGCTGCATTCATGTTGATGATGAATTGAGCCATAGGTACGTCACTGCATGGACAGAAAATACGGTGTTGGTTAAAAGAAAGCTAGAACAAGATGCAGAAACATGACGTGCAATGCGTCACAATTAGTTAATGAAAGCAAAAAATTGACAAACAGAAAATAACATTCCCGTAACAAGTGGAGAAAAATGTGATTTACCATGAAATCATCAGTCCCTTGATGGCATTCACCATGTTGTCCAGATTTATAATCTGGAGTCAAAATAAAGGTGTGTAAGAGGATAATAACCATCCACAGAACATAAATGATGCATGGAATGCTACAACTTAAATCTAGGATAGAGGAACATCTAGTTAACAAGCAAGTAGCAGACGATGTAGAAAGCGATCTATTCAAACAATCTTCCTCAATTATAATTTACAAGGGCACAGTTTCGTGAACTCATCAATAGATTCTGCTAGCAATAAGAGTGACACAATAGTTTTCCAAGATCTCTTCCAGAAAATGCAATGCAAACAAAGTTGTTTCTCATGTTACTCCAATGAGTTGTCTACTATTACCCCAGCATTTTATCAAAAGATTATGTAGATGTCATTGCCTGAGTACTGTAGTTGAGTTGTAACCAGGAAAATGCCATACATATTGCTTTGGTTTAACAACTTAGGATTATTATCATGAAAAACAGAGATACTTGTGTAACCTGATGCACATATAGTTGAACTCTGTGCACCAGAAATATGAGAGTTAGCAACCCCCATGTCGTCTTTGGTGATACCACCATGATTCTGATACGCGAGAATTCATATCAGTTTGGTGGTGGTATCATCAAATGATGAAGCAAGACAACAAGCATGAATGATAGTTTATAACACATAAATAACAATCAAATTATATGAAACTGAGCTATCAGATATCGACTTGATCTTGCAAGAGCAGTTTATGGTTGATCAGATACATGTGCGGGACTTAAGGTGCCAGATAACACCAATTATGGAGGTTAAACAACTAAGATTTTCAAACATGCGCCAAATACAGGAATTTAATTCATAAAACCAATATTTCTTTGACAAAAAACAACTACAGGCTTAAACATAGTAGGATACCATAATTTCACAACCACAGGATAGAGAACAAAAAGAAACTACTCAAATTAGTAATTTGAAAGCTTATCTCCTAATTGGTTGTATACAATAACTCTCTAACATATCATTCATCCGAGCCAAAATTCAAGGGTTCTTACAATTCCCATTTAATAAACCGAATTTGCCTCAACAACCAAGATTCTTGGTATCGGTAGAAAAATTCATCGCACAGGTTTGAGCAATTAGCCCATTAGAAAAAGCTACACGTGGACTTGTAAGTCTTCACCAAACTAACCAGCCACGAAGAACTACATATATCTGATTACCACGAACCTAGGATCAGCTGAAGTAAGCTCTATTCAAGCAACTCGTGCATTTTGGTTAAATAATTACTCAAATAAAGCAGATAATCAAGAAATCAGAACAAACCTCGTCGAGTCAGAGAGAGAGAGAGAGAGGGGGGGGGGGGGAGGTACTGAAAAGACTGTGACTGTGACCGAGAAACAGAGCAGATTGCGGTTGGATGCCAAAGCTGACGGAGAAGGGTTTTAGCCGTGCTAACATTTTGTACAATTATTGGAAAATTGGAAAATTGCAGGGTGAGTCCCCTAAGTTTTGGAGTTTGAACGAGTCGCATTTTTGCTTCTTTGCCTTCTTGTGTTTCATCTTTAACATTTTATTCTTTTATACTAAATTTCAATTTACTCTCTTAGGTTTTAACATTACATTGAGGAAAAGAGTTAGTACAACTTTTGTGAGTTTGATGAGTAAATTTATCCACTCTAATGTTCCAAAAAAAAAAAAAAGATATCTGACGGAAAGAGTAATTCTCAGTTGTTGAAATGGTTTTAAATTATGAGATACACACCACTTAATGATCTTCCAAATTTAAGTTGTCCATTTAATTTATAAAAAATAAATTTCCTTAGTGGAATGGACAAAACAAAAATAAAAAAACTCCTCAAGATTTTGTACCCATAGTACAAAATTATAACGAGGCTTTGTATTACTTTAGTCCAATATTTTCCGGCTGTCATACCATCCAGCATTTAGCATTTTGCATCAAGACAATTTAATTAGGACTAACTTTACTTTACACTTCCAAATTTGTATCATTTTCTTAGTACTTTAAATTCAATTTTAAACTCCTTGCACTCTAACCTCTTGATTTTAGACACTTTATACTTTAAATTCTCAAGTTTGTCCTGGGTATTGCAATTGGAATAGAATGACACATTATCATTAATTTACACTGTCCTTTATGTCATTAATTTTTGTTGACGATATTAGTGATTGGAACTATACAAATCAATAAAATGGTAAAAAAAAAAAAAAAAAAAAGAAGCTAATGGATCGAAAATAGGACAAAATAATATATTATCATTAATCTACACCATCCTTTATCTCATTAATTTAGCTAACATCGCATTGACTGACTTAACTTAGATAAACTTAAAAATTTAGGGTGCAAAATGCCTAAAATTGAGAGTATAGGTTGCAAAGTGTTTAAAATCAAAATTTAGGATGCAAAATGAAAATGTGGAACAAGTACAGAGGTGCAAAGTGGAGTTAGTCTATTCATTTATGGTATTTACTATACATCCCACAAGTGTAGAAATTCCAGCCCAAAAAAATAATAATAATGATAATACCAGAATTAAAATCGCCACTGTTTAACTTCCTGGTTTGTCTAGAGCACTCATTTTTCTGGTAATCTGTTATCTAATATCTACATCAGCATTGAGCGTTAAGAGTGAATACATGACGAGGAGGAAATGCAAGTTAAGAAAACAACAGCAACAACCCAAGCTGATCATGCAAAAATCTGTTCAAAGTACCAGGCAAAACCATCAGCAACAGTACATGGTTCCAGAGCGGCATTAGAGGCGGATAATATTGCAAGAAATCAAGGGGCAAGTGATGAAGACTTGTGCAGTCAAAACATATGCGAAACTAAAAATCTTGCAATGTTACAATGAATCTAGGATTCACTATCACAATCTGACCCAAAGCTCAGGGACCTACTTCTGAACCCTGATCTTTCTGATTAGTGTTTACAAGAAAAAATCATACTCAAGTGCCCAGAATCTTCCAATCACTGAAAGTCTTAGGCGAAGTGGTCATCATCTTCCAATGCACTGTATATCAACCTACAAAAAGCATGAAAATGTTGTTAAAAACCATATCATCACAACCTTAACCTTCATGTAGGCAACGTAGATGCTTGATGTTAAGCTGATTGGTCCATGACTTACCAGAATAGGGACATGAACAGGAAAAGCATGAGGTAGCCAAGTTTGAAAAGCCGTTTTTTCTTTTCTCGATTGAGCATATTAAAAATCTCAGTTACATCTATGAGGTGTTCTCGTCGATTATACCTGATGCAAACAAAACATGACTCAGGAGAGTATAATCTACCATTATATAGCAGGCACATAGTGCGTTTATATAACACCAAATCCATTAAATTGCTAAATTTCTAATCGATTTAGGGATTTGAAATCCTCACAAGCCCCTCTAGGTTGTTTGGATTACTTGGGAGGTATTTGGGTCTGTAATCCACCAATTTTTCAGCTGCTTTTAAATGTAATTACATAATTGGTGGATTACAAACCCAAATACCTCCAAAGTAATCCAAAAAAACCTAGGAATTTGAGAGGATTTCAAATTATTTGTCATATCCCTTGTCAAATCCCTCAGTCCAAATGTAGCAAGGATTTCTAATCCTTAACTTTTCAAAACATAAATTTGTATCTAACTTTATAAATGAGGAAGCAGCGCAATCAAATATTTAGGAACAAAATCACTAAGCGGAACCACCAAACCATAACAAGCTTCATAGGAATAAATCTAAAAGCAAATCCTGATTAACTCACAGTTCATAAATTTAGAAGCACAGGAACATAAATTGATACAGTCAAAGAGCAGTCTAAGTGTCCAAATGCAAGTCAAATTAGACAGCTCAGAAGAAACATAAAAATTACAGGAAAAAAATGTTTCAAAGGAAGCTGGACAAGAGACATTGACAAAAGCACGTGAAGTGATAGCTACCAAAATAAGTTTCGAATTGTGTGCAGTTGTGACAAATTGTTAAGTTACAAGACACTAAATGTACTTGAATAGCTTTATTTCAATTCTTTGTCTACAAACTAAGCATAAGACTCTAAACAACTATGCACAAAGTTTTTACCCACCCCGCAATTGTTACAAAATCTGCTTTCTGAGAAAACATGTCATGCAATGCTACAGGAGGTTCCCCAAAACCTAAATGTCAAATTTCATGGGGTATTCATTAGAAATATTGGTAAAACTAAAGGTAAAATTATCCTGAATGGATTAACAAACAGACTAGTGGAATAAGCAATCACTACATACAAAAACTTTTCACTAAACACTTTATTGTGTTTGTCTTATGATGTGTCAATAAAGTACATTTCCCAGACAGCAAATACATAAGGTTCGTTTAAAGGAAAAGGAAATGTACATGGCACAAAATGGGATGGCAACTTTATAGTCATCTTTAGAACTATGATTGATATATAACCTTGAAGACCTAATTTATTTAATATCAAGTCTTTTTGTAATTCCCAACAATGATGTAATTTTCAAGAACAATTTTTGCCCATAAAGCTATAATGGCTAATATTTGTAGTAATCAATAATCAGAAACTTTTTTGGTGAAAGAACTTTATGACAATTATTTTTAAAAGTGAATCTCCTTTGTATCTCCTAAGGATCATTGATGTTATAGACCATATATTTTTGGAGTGTTATCGACCTAAAAGATTCTATTGGTTCGGAAGATAAGCACAATATTTCACATTGGTACTATTTGAAAACATTTACAACTTCTCTATCTCCAAAAAACACAATAGTATGCATCTTATATACACAAACAAAGAAGTGAAAGAAGTAACAAAGTGTATCACAACCACATAGAAAACTAGTAAGCACACAAGAGAAATGTGAATAACGAAATTATAGCAAGACTCAGTACTTCAGATAAGCGATAAATTTTATTTCTTCCGGTTATAAGTAAAAACTAAGATCAATTTGCTATAATTTAAAGTAGAAAACAAGTTTGTAAAGACTTACAATGTGAAATTGTAGTACAAATATGGAATACTGAGCAGTGCCATGATCCAATGCCCCGTCAAAAGGAAGAGCAAGGATAGAACACCTTGTGTAATGAACTCCGGTAAAATCACTTTGTTTATCCTAGAAGCTGAATCATAGGGGTTGATATAATCAAACTCTAGATCCGCCAAGCACATAAGCTGCAAAAAAATAAATAGGTTGTCATACTTTGGAATTGTGTTATTGAACAAGCAAATGACTTCTAGTTCTATCTCCATCCTTACTTAACAATATTCCATTTTACATAATTTTCAAGTAAGATACATTAAACATAAAATTCTCAAGCAATGTTGCATTCGCGAAGGTTTATGAATTTACTCCCCGTAGAAAAGATACAAACACAGAAATTTTAACTAGAAATACTGGACTTGTGCATTCTGAATTAAGGGTAGATTTATGCAAGTCTATGCAACTTTCAATTGGTAGAATACAGATGTCTACACAGAGTACCATAAAGAAGGAAAGTTGAAGTCACTATGGCAAGGTATTCTGATTTTCACCAGTGCAAATGAATTTAGGATGCTTTAGAAACATCTCTAACAAATCCACCAACTAAGATAAAAAAAAAAAAACCAAAAATTGGAAATCAATTGGAAAAAAATTCCTGATCAAACTGGAAGATAAAAGAATGCAAATAAGTATAACCTCAAATAATTTGGGACAAAAACAACAACTAAAACTGCAAAGAAAATCGTACACTAATTCATAAAACCAGCAGAATCTACACAACTCCATCTCCATTAATACAATAATTTAAAAAAAGGGGGTGAGAATTCAAAACATTAGTAGTACATGTAAAGAATATTAGCATAGTTGAAGGGCTAAAGCTGGTTGACCTGGAAAACGACCATGACGATCACTCCTATAATTATGAAGAAGAATAGTAGCCACGCCCACACATCTCCCATGGTAGATTTCTAAATTGCAAAGTGTTTTTCTGTTCTTGTATTTATTGAAGTAGAATTTATGAAATAGAAAAAGGAAAAGCACAAGGTCACAGGTACAGAGGAGCAGGTGGAGATGCGAAGTGGGCTACACTTAGATGTTGGCTCTGTACCAGAATAGTTTGGCTTTGCCGAGGTTGAAAGTTAAGGATCGGAAAAGAAGAGGTGGGACGGTGGGAGTTCTGCCGTCTAGACGACGCAGTTTCAAGCCGCAGCGGAGCAGTCTTTTAACTTTTTGAGTTGACCCTACATTATAAGCGGAGTGCTACTTGGAAGTCTTAAAATGGGACTGGGACTCCTTCCCATTCGGGAGAATGAATTGTATGGAAATTCTAATTGTAGCGTTCCTTTTCCATTTTATTTGAGATTGTTAATTTGTTATAATGTTTAGGTATACTTAAATTACATCAATCAAATTCAAGTAACCCACAATATGAATCCACACACTTTATTATTTTCTCTTGTATTTATACACTTTTGTGATTTAGCTTGTTGGAAAAATTAATAGTAAATAAACTCCATCTTAAGTGTTTCCCAATTAGTTCAAGTAAATTATAAAGGTCATCTCATCTAGGACTAGGATTACATTATCCCAAGATTATGAGATTGGTTCAATTCAAATGTTTTGAAAACCGGATGCCTCAGGTCCGACTCAGTTAAAAAATCAAAAAATTAATTAAACCAGTCAAGAACCGGTTGAACAAAAGGGGGACTATTTTTGTGTTTCAGAAACCAATCAGATAAAGAACAAAATCATATCAGTAATCCTGTCACACTTCCATCCCTTCAACAAAATAATGTTACAATGCTATCTTACTAATAGTTCTATTTGCTTCAAGTACATAGGGCATGTTGTTGATTAATTATTTTAACCAATTATAAATTTTGATTTTGGATAATCAGTTTTTGTGATGTTCTCGGTTGCTATTGTAGTCTAATTATAGATTTTTTTAATGACCAAAAAATTTAAAATCTATAATTATCCTAGGAGTAGCTTTTGCTAATTCTGATTATTCTCTATAATCAAATTTTATAAAATTTAAAACAATGGAGGACAAAACCATAATTACTTGCAAATGATTGCCTTTTTTTTTATTTAAGTGCTCCTAATAAAAGGTACAGAATGAGTGGATAAGCGTTACAAATGGTAGCTATGAAATTTGGACCCTAATTAATCCTTTATAATCCAAGAAAATGGTAGTTATGATATTTGAACCCCAATAAAACACCACATGATATGGGAGTCATGACTCGTGAACAATCCATATCGCTCAGGAAAGGAAACTTGACTTCTCACTCGTATGGGAATTTTAGTGTGGTGGAAAAGAAAGGAAAAGACCCGATTTAGAAGGATGAAAATGAAGCTACAATTTATAAAAAGTTTACAAAATTTTAGTGGGAATTTTATGAAGCTACAGTTTTAGAAGGTGAGAAACTTGCAAGAATTTTTAAGCCATGTTTCACTCTCTCTCTATGAGAGCTTCCTTTCTCTCTCTAGTAGAGATTCTCTCCCCCTAGTGGGTGGTTTAAACTTTGCCGCTTTTAATTTTTAATTTTCCCGTACTTTTACAGTTCATTTTCCTCTCTTTCAGAGCCGTAGATTCATCTGATTGTCTTGCTTTGATAAACAATGAATGCATTTCTGAAGATTAACACATAGAATTTGGGTTTGGACTGCATCCTTTGTGTACTTTCTTCGTGAAGCTTTGGTCAGCTGGATCTGCTCAACTAATGAACAGAGCTAGCTTTCCAATCTTAATAGAGCTGGTTCTGGAGCCAGATTCGTTTGTTTTCCTTAGTTTGATTTCTGTGTTTTCTTTTTTCTTCCAGCGGTGTTCTTTGCTGCCGCCTTCGTTGTTAGGATAGGGCGGTAGTAGTCCTTTTGTTATCTGCTAAACTTGGTGTTTAACTGCTCTCTTTCTGTTTCTTCAGATTTCCTCTTGGAACTGGTGTGTAGTGGATCATCAGCCTGTGATCATCGGTGCGACGCCTTTGAGTATTGTAGCAATGGCTGAGGAGCTTGAGGAAGTGCTGAGGAAATTTGATCTCTCGGAGAAAGAGGAGGTAGGAATTCAAATTGAGGGGGAGGATATTCTCCAGGGAGTGGCGGAATGCAGATTGAGCATCATTGGCAAAGTGATTGGTGAGAAGGTGGCCAATATTGCAAGTATTAAGAGTTTTACCAGTAATATATGGATTTTTGCTAAGAATGTGAAGGTTGTTGAAATTGGTGTGAATCTGTTTCAATTTCTTTTCGTGAACCAAAATGATATGGACAGAGTTTTGAATGGGAGACCGTGGGTGTATGATAATTCCCCATTGGTTGTGATGCCGTGGAGGGAGGGGATAGAGATAGATGTTATGGCTTTTAGTAAAACTTGGCTTTGGGTGCAGATCTGGAACCTTCCAATCCATTGGATAACTAAAGAGATAGGTCGCAAGATTGGGGGAGTGTTTGATTCAGTTAAGGAGGTTATTCTTCCTAATGGTGGGGGAAAAGATGGAAAACATATTAAAATTTTAGTGGAAATTAATATTGAGAAACCACTGTTGAGGGGAACTACTGTGAGAATGAATGGTAGTGCGCGATGGATTGAGTTTAGGTATGAGAAGTGTCCTGATTTCTGTTATTGTTGTGGACTATTGGGACATAATGAGAAAAATTATAAGATTAAAGGAAATTACCTGGACAAAGAAACACAATTTGGAGCTTGGATGCGAGCTAGTAACTCTAGAAGCCCAAGAAGACAGAATAAAGGCTTTTCAAACTATGGTGAGAGTGCTGGGGAGTCTCAGAGGGATTTTGGTAAGGAGAATGAGGGAATTAATCTACTCTTGCCTTGGGGGGGTAGTGAAACCAGCTGGATTGGGAAGGAGGGCGAAGGAAATACAGGCAATATTATTAGTAGTGGTAGTACAGGGGAGGTAGAGCTAGTTGAGAAGACTAAGGGGGCTGAAGCCCAACTGAGCTTGGATGGGGAGATAGCTGGACCCAAGATAGAGGAGAAAGGGGAACAGAGCTTTGAGGAGGGGAGTTTGGTTCAGAATGAGAAGGTGGGGGATGATAACATGTGGGTTGATGGGGGTGGAGAAGAGGAAATATTGGGTAGGGGTAGGGGGAGAGAGAAGGGAAAAAGTCAGGTTGCTGGAAGTATGGGTAAGAGTAAGCCTTCTGGGAAGTATAAAGGTAGTAGGGGGTGGAGAAGATTGGTTCAGGAGGTTGGGAGGAGAGTGCCTTTGGGAGAGAAAAATTCTGGTATGGAAATAGAGGAGTCGGGTAAGAGGAAGCAGGGTGAGGCTATTGGAAAAGGAAACTGTGGGGAGCTAAGGGGAGGAGATCAGAAAAAATTTAAGGGGATGGAAGGAGAGGTTGACAGGGAGTGTTTGCTGAAGGTGGTGGAGCCCAACCTTAATGGGGCTCCCAACCCTCAATGAGAGCTGTGGTATGGAACTGTCGAGGTGCTGGGAGCCCTTTGACAGTTTCCCAACTTGAGGAGGTTGTGAGACTCCACTCCCCTGATTTAGTCTTTCTAACTGAAACTAAAAACAAAAAAAAATTTATGAATAAGATTAGGATGAGATTGAGATATGATAGTCTGTTTGTTGTTGACCCTATAGGTCGAGCTGGAGGTCTGGCTGTACTTTGGAGGAGGGACTTAGTAGTTAAAAGAGTTCTTTTCACTGATTTTACAATAGAATTGAATGTGGAAGGGAAGGGGACTGAGGAGGATTGGTGGTTTGTTGGGATATATGCTAGTAGTAATGATCAGCTCAGGGAGCAGCAGTGGAAAACCATTGAACATAGAGCTAATATATGGGGTAGGAACTGGATCTTGGCAGGCGACATGAATGATCTACTTTCCAGTGGAGAAAAATGGGGAGGGAAGCAGAGGAGTGATAGAAGTTTTAGAATCTTTAGGAATTTTGTCAATAATAATCAACTGGTAGATATTGGTTTTGAAGGGATTCCCTGGACTTGGTGTAACAATTGGGATGAGGAGGGTGAGGTTAGGGAAAGGCTTGACAGGATTCTGTGTAGTAGGGATTGGAGTAGAGATCATGATAGAGCTAAGTGTGTGCACATTCAAAATGAGGCCTCTGACCATTGCATGTTGTTGCTGGATACTTAGCCAAAGAACAAGAAATGGAAAAAGAGGTTCTATTTTGATAAGAATTGGGTGCAGCATAGGGAAGTT